AAAGGGCCACAAAAGCATTTTTACCCGGGCGCGGCCGCTGACTTTTTTTTTTTTTTTTTTTTTCAAAAGATGGGCTCTGAGTTTGGAAAGGGCAACAACCTCGAGCGCCGAGTTAAGAAAGGGCAACAAAATCGCACACGGGCCACAGCCATTTTTTCCCAAATTGCGCTTTTCAAACTCCGCACATGATGTTGTTGCCCACACGTTTTTTTTTTTTTCCCTTTCGAAACGGAAAGTGTGACACTGCCGGACTTGTTTCAAAAAGAGACGAAAAGAAAAAGAAGCAGCGTGGCTTCGCTCTCAACCCCCTTCCTCGGGACCAGGCCCATCCCGGTTAAGGGCCGCCTTCGACGTGACTCTCCATTTCCCCCACCACACGCGCACGCGTAGGAACACACACACACACACACACACACACAAAGAGAGAGAGAGAGAGAGAGAGAGAGAGAGAGAGAGAGAGAGATGTGATTGCGGAACCGAGCTTCTAGTGTGTGTGTGTGTGTGTGTGTGTGTGTGTGTGAGAGAGAGAGAGAGAGAGAGAGAGAGAGGAAACGAGGGCTGGCTGAGGTCTAAGGTTTAGGAGATGAGAGCGCTGGAGATCTACGCTGCGAAGGAAGAGTAGGCGGAGACAGCCATGGATCGTGGTTTAGGAAATGCTCCGCTCACTACGACTTTACGACAATGCATCTCGACTGAAATACGGCCATATTCAGTCGAAGAAGTTGCTCTCAGTATGCCCCTGTAGTTCGGATAGGAGGCCGATTCTAACTGTTACACTGCTACGCTCCGAAACTTAGCCAGGGCCCAGAGAGAGTTTGAAGACGACGACAAAGACGAAGCTATAGCTATGGATGCTGCGAATCGAATAAAAAGAGTCTCAGAGAGAAACGAGAATCAACGCCAGGAAAAAAATCTCGTAGTCCGTGGAAGCAGGACCTCGCTTTGGAGAGCCACTTACAAACAGAACTATGTCATCCGGACTATTCTGATGAATCTGATCCACTTCCCACATACAATACAATAAACAAAGAAAATAAGAAGAAAAAAAAGTACTCTGATCCTTGTCAAACTCCAATTTCAGATGCTTGCTCGTTCGTCAATCAGTCCAATGAACGTAGTCAACTATGCAATGCACACCCGCGCACCCACCCACACACCCACCCACCCACCCACACACACACACACACACAATCCCGTCTGATGTGCATGGCGGGGTCGTCTCTGCGCGGTCCTGTGTCTGTATGTCTCAGCGTGCGCGTGTGTGTGTGTGTGTGTGTGTGTGTGTGTGTGTGTGTGTGTGTGTGTGTGTGTGTTGCCTACCATGTCTGTGCTATCAGAACGCTGACTGCAGATTCTGAAGTGTGTGTGTGTACGTGTGTGAAAGGGGCGCGCAGAGACGACCCCGCCACGCACACACACACACACACACACACACACACACAGAGGCTGAGACGTACAGACACGGGCGCGCAGAGACGACCCCGCCACGCGCGCACACACACACACACACACACACACACACACACACACACAGACTCTGAGACATACAGACACAGGACCGCGCAGAGACGACATCGCCACACACATCAGACGGGAGCGCAGAGAAGAGCTCGGCACACACACAGACGGGCGGGCGAACCGCCGCGGAAGAGAAAGAGGTAGGCACGCCAAGCCATCCAGGCATGGTAGGCCAAACTTTACACTGACCTGAATATTGCGTTCGAAATTCTCGCGGCACGAGCTCCACTGCTCTTCTCCTCCCTCCCCACTTCCGGTGCTCCGCCCCCGCGTCCCGCCGCCCCGCCTACCCGTTCGCTCGCCCGCTGCGTTCAGTCGACATACTACTGACCTTGCGAAGAGAGTTTAGAAGTTTAGAAGATTAGAAGATTAGAAAGGTTGCAGACGACGTGGCTTCTCCGTTTCTTCCGACTTTTTTTAACTTCCTGGAGCCGAGAATAGAGCTTAGAAGTTTAGAAGTTTAGAAGTTTAGAAAAGTTTAGAAAAGTTTAGAAGATTAGAAGTTTAGAAGTTTAGAAGTTTAGAAGATTAGAAGAAGAACGTTTTTTTTTGGAGCAGGAGAATGTTTAGAAGAAGAGTGACGATGGACGATGGCTGGAGAGGGGAGACACTGTCAGGCAGAGTGAGAAAAAGTTAGAAGTTTAGAAAGAAGAAGAAAGTTATATATACTAGAGTTTGGAAGAAGCGACGATCCAAAGGCTTGAGAAGCGGAGAAACAGACAGCTAGACTGCTAAAAGGCGATTCGTTAATTGGGGATCGTGGATCGCCCACGAGCTTTTAATATACGCGTTTAGAAACGCAGCCTCTTTCTAATCTGTGTGCAGTACTCGCCTTCTCTTGTTTGGTCTCTTTCGAGGAAGGGAGGGGTCGGGTCGGGTTGGGTCGGGGCCGGGGGGGTGCGGGGCCCGGGGGGTGGGGCCGGGAGGGTGGGATGGGCCTCGCGCCAGCACTGAATATGGACGAGAATGACGCCCGATGCGTTGGCTGACCAGAGAGTTTTCTTTTCTGTCGTTTACAACTGGGGCCGCTTTGCTTCTTAGGGCCTCGCTCCACTGCTCTCGAAATGTGCAAAATGAGGGCCTCGCCACACCACTCTCGAAATGTGAAAAAGACAAAAATGTGGAGGGTGCATCTAGTCGTGTTCTAGCGGAAAGTTCATTCTCATTTTGCACATTTCGAGAGTGGTGTGGTGATGCCCTGAGAGTGAATCTTCTAGAACATGGAAAGATACACCACCATGTTTTTTTTTTTTTTTTTTTYTGGAWKTYGAGACTATTGGAGCAAGGGAAAAAAAAAAAAAAAAAAAARACCCGWAGCCCCCACGAAAGTACTGGGAATATAGCTTACTGGGAAAAAAAGGGATAATTTGCAAAATACCCCCATAAGTTGAGATGAATGCCAGAATGCCCCTGAAAGATGTGGGTAGAGCGGAATGCCCTTTTGGGGCGAAATCTTTGTGTTGTGCCCCTGTCAGGCGGGGGCGCATGTGCCCCTGTCAGGCGGGGGCGCATGTGCCCCTGTCAGGCGGGGGTGCAACTTTGGAATCTGGACCTCCCCCTTTGGGCCTTGGCCTTTTGCAATAGGGCCGCCAAGGAGAAGTTGGCAAGGACTGGGGGCATTTGGCAAAGTTGGACGGTACCCGGTAGGGGTATATTGCAAAGATGGGGGTCCAACCGATGCCAGGGGTATTTCACAAAATATTTTTTTGTCTGAGGGGCATTCTCCTCTACCCACATCTTTTAGGGGCATTTTGGCACATATCTCAACTTACGGGGGTATTTTGCAAATTATCCCCAAAAGAAAAAAAAAACTGGGTGCAGAGAAAAGGTCGCTGAGGGCCAAGCCTCGCCCGTGCTATGTTTGCAACTTTGCGCTACGGTAACCACCATTCACACTATCAATCCTACGAAGTCCAAAAAAAAAAAAAAAAAAAAAAAAAAAAGGCTAGAGCATATTCATGGTGCTTTGAGTGTTAATGCCATTTTGGAGTTGACTACATGTACTGTGTTTGCGTGAATTGACGCTACGTGAATCAATTCACGCAGACTTTGTTTGATTCTTCTCACATACTCTTGTATCATTCAACTTGATACTGCACACGTTAACTTTCTCGGAGAGAAATTACCGAGATTAGTGAGCGTGCTATTCTCCTTCCGTCATCACGTTTACTTTTGCGTTACGAAGTTTGCGACTACTCAAGTGAGAGGTGCTTGAAGATGGGCGACCGAAGAGACTACGACCGTAGGAGGACCAGGTCCGGAAGTGAAGAGAGAGTGAATAGCAGGGGTTCCGACCGTCAGTATGACCGAGGAGGCGAGCGTTTCTATAGGCGATCTCCCCCAAGATGCTTCTCTTGTGGAGAACGTGGTCACTATGCAAATCAGTGTCGGAACAACAGACCTGCGACCGAGAGCCGCCCGTCGACATCGCATGACGTACAAAGAGGCGGATCAACATCACCAAGAAGGGAGGGAACGAAGAACGCGAGCGGATCATCATCCCAGGATTCGGACCTGCGACAGCAACTGGAGGAACTTACTAAGAGCCTGGCTGGTATGTCTGAGTTCGTCCAATCTGAGAAATTGAAGAAGGCGGAGGAGGAGAAAGCGAAGAAAGAGGTGGAGGAGGAGGAACAAAGACTAGCGGCTGAGAAGTTGGAGCAGCAAAGAAAGGAACGTAGAAGAATGGAAAAGATACGTAAGGAGAATGAAAGATTGGCGGAGATTGGCAAGAAGGTGGAGCTCCAGATCGCAATCAAGACGAGTGAGTTCTTCGACCGGGTTGAAGCAAGTTTGGGACCTGCGTTGACACTAGCCCGTAAGGCGAAGGGTAAGAAACAAGTGGTTCACGTATTTGACCCTGAACCAAGTTCGGGGAAGGACAGCGACAGCAGTGCAACAAAAGAGATCCGAGCCAAGACCGGGCGCCTGGCGATTAACGAGAAGTGGAAACGTGGTCCTGAACCAGAGTTCGAGGACAGCCCTCCGATGCTGACACCTGGAAAGCGAACACCGGGAATACCGAAAGAGAAGGCCACTACAGGAGGCACTCGACGTTCCAGATCTAAGGCGAAAGTTAAGACGAAGTTGTCACCATACGTTGAGAAGTTGAAGAAGACCCCCGGTCAACCAAGTACAGTGGCGAAGTTGAGGTTTCACAACCAAGCCATGGAGGAACTTCGTGGTATGGATGCGCAAGAATTGCAAGCGATCTGCAAAAGTGAAGGACTGGCATACAATGACAAAATTGATGCCATTTTTGACATCGCAAGCTACCGTACAAGAAAGGCCTTCAGAGAAGTGGAGCCGGTCGACCTATTTGGCCAGATGAGCCGGAATGAAGATGATTCTACATCGCTTGAAGACGAGGATCAAGACCAGGACGCTTGATGCGTTTACGGAGCTGGAGAGATATGGCGCATCGTCCGGCTGTTGACGAGACAACGTTGCCCAGAGAAACACGTGGATACTAAGGCAGAGGAACTACTTCGTTTGTGCATTCTACTACTATCTCTGAGGGGTGAAATCCGATGGACGAAGAAGATTGTGGAGTCCTGGCGAAGACTGTACGAATCGCATGGGATTGGATTCTTGAATTTGAAAGGTTGTGTGTACGTAGTTGTTTCACCATTCTGTAAGTTGCAGTACGTAGGTAAAACCACGCGGAACATTGATGTGCGCTGGCGTGAGCATTTGTCTGCATGTCGGAGTAAGAAGCAGTCACACTTCCATCGATGGCTTTGCACATTTGGGTTGGGTAATTACGTGCTGCTACCTGTTGATTTCGCCCAGAATGAGGTGCTTCTGGAGCTCGAAGCTGTTTATATTAAGCAATGGTCTCCGTTCCTCAATACCAGCGGATGTAAGCGGAACAACCAAGGTTGGGGTAAGCGACGTCTGGGTAAGAAAGAAAGGAGTGATAAAGTGGGCGGAAGTATACCTCGAGATTGCCGTGTCATCCGCTTTCGATCTGATGAGGAGGCATTTTCGCTCAATCTCGGGGAAATCCTGGCAACCAAGGATAAGGCCGGTAGCAGAAGATTCGTGATTGAATCGAGTGGTGGTACACCTGGGCGCATGGATGGAAGGCAATTCGTCGAAAGTTTGGTGAATCTTCTGTGAAGACTGTTGCTGGTATCGTACAACTGAAGCGCTGCAAGAACCTCTTTGAGATAGTTGGAGAAGTGCAAATCGAATACCTCCGTGTATGGAAATCGAAGGGTGGCTATCTTAAACAAGTATTGTTTCAAATCTTGAGGAACCCAGGTAAGCTATCTGATGTTTACTCCTGGGGACTGAAGTCGATGATTAGAGTGTATAATACCATCAAAGATTTTCATAGAAAATCCACATGTAAGTACCTGAGACATTTAGTATCTCGTGTGGTCCGAGATAGGTTTGGTTTGAGTTTGTCAGCAGATCTTGTCATTCGAGTGAGGTTTGACGATCGGGTTCGACTCGTAGAACTTAGAAAGATAATCAATGATGGGATTATGGAGTGTGATTTACCTTGCTGTTTTCGGAAGCGTGCGCGGGAGAAAGTCCGCATAGTCTGGGTTAAGAACCAGTCTGTGGGTGACATTATCCATAATCAGAGAGCCTTTGCCTCTCGAGAGATTTTGACATGTACATGTGCAGGGTTGACCTTCCCTAGATCGGGAGGTCACGTATGCTTCCGTTTAAGTCTGGGTGGGCCGCACCACCATATATTAGCGAACGCAAATGATATTCCTCGCTCTGAGGTGACAAACCGTGTTGACTTGCTTCAGCGTGAAGTTATCGCGAGATTTTAGACATGGTATAACCTCAAGGGCCCTTGCCCTAGGATCTCTAAGGACCGTTTGTCTGTGTGCGTTGTAGCTACTAGCGATAGCGCGAGTAAGTTGCGATTGGCGGATGTGACTCGTGTGAAGGAAAAGCTGGATGGTCTCGTCCTGACACCACTTGACAGAAATCCCGGCGATACTTTGGTGATGTGCCCAGCATCATACTATTCGGCGATGATGAGCACTTTTGTAACCAGTCCAGGTTACCGTGTAGTTCAATCTCCTGCAGAGCAAGTGCCGAGAGAGATCAAGGAAGATATGACTGACAATGGTTTGAAGAAATTCGTCCGTTGGGACCAGAAGGGTAGATTTGGTGAGTCTTATGTGTTACCAAAGCACAAGGACACGGAACGATTTAGACCAATTTGCCCAACGTTTAACGAGCCAATGGTTCGTACAGGAAGGTTGGTTGCGAAAGGGCTTAACCATCTACTGTTCCAGCTACCCATTGACTGACATTTCAACCTGCAAGCTGTGTCACATCTAGCAGGAAGATTGCAGCGGATTAACAGGAAGATTGGGAAGTTGACGCATGCATCTGAGATTGAATCCGGATCGTATGATATTAAAGAAATGTTTAGTAGACTTCCTCATTGTGAAATCTTGGAGGCTGTCAATTGGATTGTTAACCACTATCGGGACAAGGGGAAATCTTTCGTCAGGGTGAACACAAGGGGTAAGGGAGTGAGTTTTGGGGTCACTACCGGTGCTGACCACTGGAGACGCTTAGATCTGGGGGACATCATGAAGTTCGTCCGCTTGGAATTGAGTCACACTTACACGTATGCTACAGGGGTGCTGTTAAGACAGGTAATAGGCATCCCCATGGGCAAGAGTACTAGCCCTCCCCTCACGTGCATCATGTGCGCTTTGGCAGAGTGTAAGTTCTTGAACAGTATCGGGCGTTACAAGAAGCAGGTTTTTGGTTTGAGACTGATTGATGATGTCATCCTGATCACTGCGTCCTTACAGGAGAGAGTTCGAGAAGAAATTGTACGGAGATTTGAGCACTGCTACCCGGAGACACTGACACTGAAAAGGACTGATTCCGGTGATGGTATTTTACAGTTCTTGGGATGTGAAGTCCGTACATCCCAGAGGAACCCTTTCCTTGGATGTGTTCAGCTAACAAAGAACGAAGAAACTATCTGGACGGAAGAAAAGTTGGTGTTCCAGAATGGTCAGTCTTAATCGGCCTGGGGGAGCAAACAGCAAAAGAACGCTATTACCGGAAGCCATCTGCACCGGATCAATCAGAACACGACTGTCCGGTCGGAGATCCCGATGCGTGTCCTGACGGTAAAGAGAGAACTCCGTTTGAAAGGTTTTCCTCCTGACTGTTTTGAGAGGGTTTTGAAGAAGTTCGTTGTGGGGAAAGATGAGGTGTGGAAGCAGACTGTGAAACTGCTTACTTCTTCGTCTTGATGAAGCTCCTTACCATCAAGTGTTATCTCACCTGCACAGTGAGTCTGACAGAGAAGACCTGGACAGGATACCTGTCATGTCTAAGTTGGTACAGGTTATTTCCCTTCTTTTTCTCAGCCCGTAAGGTGAGGTGCAGACGGTTTCGGTGATGCACGACAACAGTATCCATCGGGAGAACTTGTGTAAATTAGATATCTGGGAATTGAACAGAGATATGTGTGTGCGTATGGCATCTACTTAGTTTACCAGGTGAGGTCTGTACGGTTACTTCTGTTTGTAAGGACAGGTTGCCCGGGATGCGTTCAGAAAGTATCTGGCAGGGTAATTAGACAGGGTAAGTACGTTTTGGTTTTGTTTTTGTTTGGAAAAAAACAGTCTATCAGTGATGCGCTCAGAGAGCACTGGACTGGGTTTGTTTCGTTCCGGAAAGAACGGATTGTGGATGATGCTTTCGTAAGGCATTGGACATGGTTTTGAAGTTGTCGGCTACGTTGTTGCTAGGCTTCGGTAACTAATCTATTCCGGTGCTTTCTGACTGTTTGGTTCGGTGGATAGATAGATAGGGCACCTGTTTCTGTGGGTTAGAAGGCCCTGTGATTTTTTGAGATACGTATACGGTACCAGCACCAGGTATTTTGGTACCCGGTACTGATATCGCGACAGGAACGTACGATAGAGCCTTTGGCTATAAGACGATAATCGCCCGGGTGGGCCTGTGTGCTTTTTCGATAGGATGTGTATATTTTTTTTCGAGTGCGTAGGCTATATGGTAGGCTATGTAGTTAGCTCTTCTGGACTATCGTGGGTTACGGTTCAGGTAATCCGACTACATCACTAAGGATAAAGAGGATTAGGTACAGATCAGTTGACCTCTTCAGGACTGACGGGACTGGAAGCTAAGGTCATTTCGGAGTGAGTGTAGCCGAAGGTACGGAAGTGGGAAGGAAGGAAGGAGGGTTTTGATTGAGGGAGAAGTAGGTGGACACCCCCTGATGAAGGCAACGTGGCTGTTGCCGAAACGCGGCGTCGGGGATGCCGTTCCTGAATCGTTTAATATTTTCAAGCGTAATGCTTTGAGTGTTAATACGATTTTGAAGTTGACTACATGTACTGTGTTTGCGTGAATTGACGCTACATGAATTCACGCTGACTTTGTTTGATTCTTCTCACATACTCTTGTATCATTCAACTTCAACTGTTATATCATACGAGGACTAAAAAGGTAACTCAAACACACAACTTTTTTTTTTTTTTTTTTTTTTTTTGGGACAAAAGCTCCAATCTATTTGTGGGGAGCAGCATGTGCTGGGAACCGGGCCCAGCACAAAACTTAAAAACTTCACAGTGAAAAAAAGCAGAAAAAAGCAACCTTGGATATTGTCCCACTGGCGAATCCACTGTAAAAAGATCCGGGAAAGCTCCCCATCTGCAACCAAACCATTTAGGGCTTTGGCTGTACAACCCTGTTTTTGCACTTTGTACTCCCAGTCTGCCAAGACAACTTGCTTTATAGCGTACTTGATTTCTGCCCTCACCATTGGGGGTGTAAACTGTTCTCCCCTTCTCAAAGTAGCATTCCGAAGATTCCATATCGTCCATACAATGGCAGCTCAAATAGTTTCTTCTTCTGCATGCCATGGGCCAAATGATCAGGGGACGATCTTCTTCTGGAAGCCAACCCCATCAGCACAAACTGATCGTCCCAGTGAGCAGCTGGCGCTGGGACAGGGATGTTGGACTGTCTCCACCACTCCCAGAACGGTCTAGATATTTCACAAAGTAAGAGAAGGTGATGGATGTCCTCCATTCGTATTCCCCGACAAAGTCTGCATTCTGGACTAGCCTTTTCCGTTCTTCTTGCACACCAAGAAGCAACAGGCAATGCTTGATGCTTTATCAACCTGAGCAAACTTGTGCATTTACTTACTGTCAGTTCCAGCAACTGTTTCCAAAAACCTGGCAGTGCTTGAACCAGTCTTGTCAGTGAGTCTGTTACCCATCCCCTTGCCATTCATATTCTTCCCACTACCCAGTTTACATCCACTTCCGGTATTGACTTCAGATAGCCCAACATAGTTGTGTAACTATCATCGAGCGAGATCAGCAAGTTGATTTCTTCGGGTGTGTCCAGGCCCAGTCCCTCGGGTCGACCCGTAAATAGTAAGCTGCTAGCGTCCCTTGTACAAAATG